AGAAGGTTGGGAGAATCTATTGAAAGCTATCTTTAAATTGAGAGTTACCACGATGACTTTGGTGAATGGGTCATTAATTCTTTTAAGGCTCTGACTATTTAATTAAGGAAATAATTAAGATTTCTTAGATCAGTCATTACACTGATTTATTTTTAGAGCATACTGTTTTGGCAAATCTTATCTTTTAAAAAACTGTTTGCTAGAATACATTTCTTTCTTGTTGGTACTATGGCTGAATTCAGTTATCAAAGCACAGAAATCATGCTTGTATAACTAGAGACATGTACAGTTCTTTAAAGCAAATTTCAGAAGCTCTCCTCTGAGCTCCCATAGCATTCTAGGCATATCCTCCCTCTCGATTTGTTGGAATTATCTACTGGTTTGTCAGTGGAGACAAGGTAGGTGGGACAGGGACCTTGTCTTATTTCTTTTCCTATGCCAAATCCTTGAAACATAGTGGGTATTCAAGAAATGAATCTCGACTGAATAAAAGCTGTAAAAATAAAAGCAGTAAAGTATACCTCACAAATCCCATTCCAAGTGCCCTTTTCCCAGACTGGAAGGCAGAAATGGAAACAATTATGCCCCCCAAAACTATAGAGATGCTCCTGTGAACCTAGCAGCTGGGGCTCAGCACTAACTTTGAGTTGTATGTATATTAGTGATCACTTTTATAGAGAGGAGAGTCAATTCCAGGCACAGGAAATACATGTAAAGATTTAGCCCAACAGCAAGAACTATGTGGGCAATTATTTTTTTCAACCCTAAGATACTGACTCAAAAAATATATTGAGAGAATTGCTGGTGCTCATGTTTATTGTCAAATTAGCCATGACAGCTGCAAATGTTTTCACTTTAAGTTAATCTCAAAAGCTTCATTTGCATTTTTTCTAACCCAAGAATATTGTTAGAAAAAGCCTGGATTGCTGGTATAGTGATGGAAGAAGAGGGTGTTTTATCTTTGGTCCTTCTGAGTTGAATTAAATATTTTACATTAATCATCTCTGTCATTAGGGGATTTGTCCGCATGCTTTTTACAAATTACAGTTGCTAGGAATTTATAACTTAAGAATTTATGAAGGTCAAGAATATAGAATTCCAACTAATATCTGAAATGACAGCCTCAAAGACAGGACTCGCTCAGATCTGCCCCCTCCTCTTCTAGAGAAATCTAGTATAACGGCTACTGCTGTGATGTAGACATTTCCAAATGCAGCAACACTGAAACTCATTACCAGCTTTAACAACTTACTTTTCAGAGTCTATGGGGCTTTGAAAACCTAAATTTAGGTATGCTTAATGGAATGGCTCTGCTTTAGAAAACAGATTTTGTCAAGGGCTTTGCAACCCCTGTTCTCCCCGAAATTTATTTAACCTTACTCATTTGGAACAATGGGAGGGGGTAAGGGACGGGAGGGGGCTAGGATTACTTAGTGATGTCTTAATTTTAAAAATTTATAATGAAATAAAATTTGTGTTGCTTTCAATGGCAATAAATACGAAAGTCAAAATATAAATGAGTCATGAGTAATTAGGTATTCATAATCATAATACATAATACACTTTCATGAATAATTGTGTTCCATAAGATAGAAAATACTTTACTATTTAAGGATTAATTAGACCTAGAACTTGAAGTTCTGGATATTTCACGATACTTTTTATGTACCTCTGTACTGGGTCAAACAGTGTCCCCCTAAAATTCACGTCCACCTGGAAGATCAAAACATGACCTTTTTGGAAACAAGGTGTTTGCAGATGTAATTAGTTAAGATGATGTCATCCTGGATTATGGTAGGCCCTAATTCCAGTCGATACTGACCATATAAGAAGGCGAGTGGAGAAAGACACACACCAAAAAAGAAGAGCCATATGAAGTTGGAGGCAGGGAATGGAGTGACACAGTCACAAGTCGAGGAATGCTGAGGGTTGCTAGTAACCATTGGAAACTGGGACGAGGCAAGGAAGGGTTCTTTAGAGCCTTCAGAGGGAGCGTGGCCTGCTGAAACTTTGATTTCAAACTTCCAGAGCTTGAGAAAATAAATTTGTTGTTTCAAGCCACTCAGTTGATGATAATTTGCTGTAGCGCTCCTAGGAAATGACTGTAACTCTCTTTGAGAGCAAAAGTCCCTCTATGTATATGGCCATCCTTTTGGCATTGAATGTAGTCTGTTATTCAATGTTTTCCTATACAGCATATCATCAGATAATGTCATTTCATTATAATGTCGATGAGGAAAAAAAAATGATTCCTAGCCAGGACCACTGTCTGTGTGGAGTTTGCAGGTACTCCCCACATCTACGTGGGTTTCTCTGGGTACTCTGGCTTCCTCCCACATTCTAAGATGTGCACGTGAGGTTAACTGGCATGTCTAAATTGCTCCAGTCTAAGTGAGTGTGGGTGAGTGTGAGGGCGCCTCGCAATGGAAGAGTGTCCTGTCCAGGTTTGGTTCCTGCCTTGCACCCTGAGCTGCTGGCATAGGTCACCCATAACCCTGAATCAAGAATTTATTTTCATCATTTTGAAAAGGAGACGTTACTTGGAAAAGATTTAAACATTGTTCAAAAGTCTTGCTTCTTTCAAGCTTACCGGAGCTCTATGGAGTCTGTCCCAAGCATGCATAGTTAAAGGTCAACCAGAGACCTGGACAGAATTTATTCATAGAATTTGGGGCTCCCTTATCTGCCTCTGTCCTTTTTGAGATTTCCTCCCTCACTTCCCAGCTGCTGTGATTGTCTCAAACTCTGACCTCTGTGGGTTTGATAGAAACTGTGGGCTTCTATGAGTTTTAACTGCCTTATCTGACACCACATGGGATGTACCCTCAAGCTAAAAGCCATAAGAGAATGGGAAGCTCACCCATTACTATTTCCTTCTCACAAGAGTAGGCCTTCCTTCAGTTTCTACCTGCTTCTGAATCATGCTCCAGTGGTGTGAGATGGGTGTTTTTTATATTTTGTCAAGCATTTAGAGTTGTTAATGCTGTGAAGGGTTGGTTCAATAGGAAGTACCTGGCCATTACAGGAAGCAGAAACCTCCTTCACTAAAAATTTTGATGCCAGTTTTTTAAATAAAAAGTTTTCCTGAACTCAAAGAACTAGATAAGAAATTAAAGAAAAGCCAGATTCATAGTTAGTTGTAAGCAGAGGGGAACTACTTTAAATTACCACTCAGGAAGTCTCAATTTAGTTTTTTAAAAATATGAACCTGTGCTTACCTGTTACTTTTGCACATTAGTATGAATGAAGAGGGTACTGGAACCTGAGCCCTTTGATGCTGCCATACTCCCATTCTGTGCCCACTGTGAGGACAATTGACACAAGAAATCACAGTCAACTGCATACACTCACATCCACAGGCATGCAACTGCAAACATACCAAAGGGTAACACGACCTTTGTGAAATTTCTCAGGGATATGGAGGAGGGTATACACAGCATGGCAGAGCACAACTTTCCCCAAAATTATTTTTGAAATACCTTCCCTAAAGTTTCACTTCCTCTGGCAGCTACCCAGATCTCTCCTCCTCTCTCAGGTCTCCCTCTTCCAGCTCCCTGTTCTCGTCCTGTCTATTTCTCTCTCGTGCTCTCTTTATATGTATGTGTATGTGTGTATTACAGGCAAAGCTCTTGAATGCTTCAAATTTGCAACTCTATCCAGTTCTCCACTCATTACAACAAAGACAGAATAGTTGAGATAGTCAACTGCAGGATTCTTTACCTCATAGTGTGGTGGAGTATTTATGTGTGTGTGTGAGTGTGCAGCATGATTATAAATACTTATAATTTAATAGTTTCCCTTATCATAGTCACATATTCAGATATATGTGAAAATAACAGGAAGGAAAGGGATGTGTCTCAGGACAGCAGAGTCGGAGCTAACTACGCGTCAGGCACTTTATTTCCATGCATTATTTCTAATCCTCTCTGTTTTTCAGATGATGAACTTCAGGCTCAGAGCCACTGTTAATTATCTTTCCACCCCAGCACACAGGCTCTGGGATATCTCTAACATATTAATGTAAAATGCAACAGAAAGCATGAAAGACATGTCTGAGAGTCTTGCGGGGAGAGGAGGGGAATAGAGGGCGGGTTGCCTTATGGTCAGGAGGGAAGATCCGAGGACAGGGGTGGTTGAGGAGAAAAGTTTAAAGCAAGAGTCCTGCCAGATGGGGCAGGTGGGCTCCAGGACAAAAGGGGGTCTCAGACTCAGCTTGTTCTCTTCTTTGCCCTTGTTCCTCACATAGCGGTCACATGGCCTCTCTGTTCCTCAAACACTCCCAGCTCATTTTGAAAGATAGATAATGATGACTTCGTTAATTTATTTCCTAAAGCTAATCAAAGTATATATTTTGGAAGCCTTATAGGCAATTTCAGTCTTTAAATCACTGGATGACACTATTTCAAACAAGAAACTACTTCTCTTGATTCACTTATAAGCTAAACAGCTTTTAAATTTCCAAACCCCTTGTCAATTTGGCGTTAACTGATCCAAAAGAAAAAAATGCAGACCTTTCCCATATCTGTAGAAGTGACTGTTTTTAAAGTTATCATTTTAGTAGAATTTAATGAATACTGGTACTTAAGTTACTTCTGTTTCATTGTACGATAGCCTTTAAAATCTAAATTTCCTGGCACAAATGTCTTGAATGATTCATTTTTAGCAAACATTACACAGGGATGGCTGCTGGATATTTTACCTTGGATCTAATGGTATGTGTGAGGAATATTAGCCAGGAAATATATTATTGATAGATTACAAAAAAAGCCATGCTTGGCTACGAAAATTTCTGTTTGTGCTGTGTCCCGAATTCCATACGTTCAGAAGCTATCATCTCAATATCATGCCGATAACTTTGAGTTAGGCAAAAATTGACAGTTAAAACTGTCTTCCTATAGAGCTTAGGTATTGTCTTATAGGAAGCTTTACAAGAGAAAATCCATTTGAAACTTAAAATTTTGATTTTAAAAATGGTGATTTTTATGATCCCTGTTCTTAAGGTGGTTCCAAAAAGAAGCATGAATGATGAATGAAGATGGAGAAGGAGGCAAGGGAACAAGAAAGTCGAATCACTGACAGAGCGACTCAGAAAGGCAGCGAGAGAACTGAGGAGAAACATCACGACCGGGGGAAAGCACAGCTGCACATCATGTCTGACAGAGAGCACAGAGTGTTGGAAAAGTTTTAAGTTTTGATCAATTCAATTTTCCTTGTTACTGAGGCAGAGGCAGCTAGAATACATGAAAAGTAAGAGATAACTCAAACTCTACCACATTTTAAACACCCCTAGTACTAAAAATCTTTTACCCCAGCTGGTAGCAAAAGCTAAGAAGTGGCCAAGCTGACGGTTTTTAAATAGCTATCCTTGGGCTTAATTCTCCCATGGGTGGAGACGCCAGATATGAGGGGTGGGGAAGAAAGAAGAAAGAAAGCTAATACTGAGGGCTAACTATGCATCAGGCACTGTGTTAAGCATTTCACATGTATTCTTTAATTTTCACAGCAACTTATAAAATAGGTACTATGATAATAGTTTTCTCATCCATAAACTGAGTTTTCCCATCTGTTACATGAGTTTATTATAGTCATTTAACACAGAGAAGGTAGGCAACTTGCTTATTATCACACAGTTAACTGACTGAGCTGGGAACCGGACGCAGGCAGTTTAACTATAGACTCTGAATACATAATAGCTGTGCCATATGGCATTTTCTAAAATAACCAAATACAACCAAGTTGACAGGATAAAAGGAGTTGAAAGTGTGTTGGCCTCTAATACCTGGCTGCTGCCTGCAAATTTGTGGTAGAAGTCCTGAGTCCTCTTTGGTGTTCATCTCTGACACCCATCATTATTTTTAGGTAAGGGGATAAAGATCTACTTGAAGCTATCCTTTCTTCTAAATTCAAATACAAATAAGTTAAAGAATGAAAAATGTTTGAATTTTTGACACATTCACTTCATTATATTAAAATTTCTACTGTATGTCAATTCGTTCCCGAGGGAAACATTTCAGCAATTTGGTGATTAAATCATGTAGCAGTGATGAACCTAACTTCTAAAGCAGTTTCCATGAAGAGGGTGTAATTTTTTTCAAAGTATGTATAAATACACACACACACATACACACCAATACTCTCTATATACAAAAAAGATATCTTCAAGACAAGTTCCCATTTTTTTCGGGCTCTATTTATATGCAACCAGTTCTAAGAATTCTCAGAAAAGGCCTGACACTGTCCCCTCGCTAACATCCCTCAGAGCAAGAGTCCTCATACATTTTTCAGGCACGACCCACTTTATGGGTTCAGACTCTGTAATGAGTCACATGCATATCTTCTAAGGACCTTCAAGGGTTGCAAATGGGATGAAACAAAAATAACCAAAAGTCTGAGGGTCAGCTCTCTTAATCTCTCTTTCTTATTTGTCATCTGTCCATAGGTCATTGGGTTCAAATGACATTTTTTTTGTGTGTGTGAATAAAAATCTAGAATTTGGCTACCTCTTCTTGGGACACTTCATTTTCAAGCCATAAAGGCTAAAA